TCTGCCTTTTATTTCCTATTTCTTTCATCTTTTCTCCTTTTTTCTTGTTTTTCCTTTCCTGTTCTACTGACATTGCAGTCTCCATATAATCTGTAATACTCCCTGCATGAATTATATTACAGCTATTTATATGCATAAATCAAGTGGAACACTATAGCAATGGCCGTACTGCTCCACTTGTAAAAGAAAATCTGTTGGGCTCTTTTTGGCATCAAGACAATTATTCTTATTGCCAGACAGGACACTGTTTAAAAAGATAATAATAATAAAAATAAAATATAAAATGAAAGAGGATTGGGTTTATTCCAGGAATAAACTAACTAGCTAATGGATGGAGCGATGTCGATGGAGCGGCACATAAATCAGCTTGTTAGGAGCTGCTTTCTCCAAATTCGGAACGTTTCTAAACTCCGTAAGACGGTGACTTATAATGTGCTTGAGATGATTATTCATGCTTTTGTCACTTTTAAGAAACAACTAAAGACCCACTTTTTTAAACTCGTTTTTTAGTTTAATACTGTGTTTACTGTTTTTGTATGTTGTTTTAATTTATAGAAACTTTTTATAAATTTGTGCAGCACTTTGTGACCCTGGTCTGTGAAAAGTGCTATAGATATAAAGTTTCCTTACTTACTTACTTAACAGATATAGATATAGCAATCCTTTTGATTAATGTTAACTAGCTTAACATATTGATAATTAGTCTGTTTGACCTTTTCATCATTTAATTAAGAAGTCTTTTTTTCCAAAGATCGTTGAACAACTTTTTAAACAAAGGTTTATTTGGAAAAGAAAAAAACTACAAAGTTTTTTGCTTCTTGCTGCCGGTTTGCTGAACACCCTGAGGCTCATGTTCATCACCATGTCTGTGTCGATCAAACTTGAACTTCTGCCTTAGCATTTGTACGATCATGGGGCGTTCAAAGACAGCTCAGAAAATGAAGTTACTGCACCATAATAATGGGTTTAACAAGAGCGGTATTTTGCCACATTTTGTTTTTTTTTTAATCCAAGGAAAGGCTGTGGCTTGCTTAAAAACAATAGGTTATGTGAATGGGCAACAACACAACAACTGCTCAGTGTTGTATGTTGTGTTTTTGGATACCTGCCAACATGTCAGGTTGATTGACAGTTTCACCTCTGAGTCACAAAAGTTAGCCGCATTTGGCGGGTGCCAACTTCAGGGCTCACACGCAGTTCCCTTAAAATGCGATGTCAGAGGACTATTTGTTGCTTATTATAGGGGAGCGTCACTAGGCATAGAATTTTCAGCAACCAAAATCTACAAATCAATTCAAAGAGACTCTATTTTAAACTTGAGAGACTCACAAAGAGAAAAGTCAAAATGAGAAACATTTTATTGAAATAAATGAAATACGTTATTTTAGGCACGGACCCTGGCACAAGACTTGGATACTGGGAATGGATACATGCTATAAAAAGTAGCTTAGAAAAAAGAAAGGGAGCTAGAGCTAAAGGCCAAGCTATGAGAATGCAGAAAATCACATTTGAGAAGACGGAAGGAGTGGCTTAAGCCGGGCATACACTGCATGATATTTTAATTTGTTGCACGCTGCTTCAACTCAAACTGTACGACAAAGCAGCAGGGTTTAAAAGTTCACAGTTTAAGATGTATGTTCTCACACTGTGTGACCCGACGCTCTGATGCAATCTATGAGTTCTGATGCGAATTGGAGCTATATGAATAAACTGAATTGAAATGAATTTAATTAAATGCAGAGAGTGAATTTTGTTGCTCTGTACTTGTGAAAGTTTAATGACAATTTAAAAAAGCTTAAAAAAGAAAGCTGGAATGTGCGCCTGCTTTGGATAAAACTTTGCACCATTTATTATTTGGCTTCCCCAAGTTTCATTCTGTTTTTTTGTTAAAAATTATAATGCATTTAGCAAATTTAACCACAAAATGCCATTATCTATCCCAGTATTAATTTATGACACCCCTCTTTAACAGATCAAAGTGATGAGCACTGTCATGGCAGCTTATTATGTACGGACACTATACAGAATCACATATTTAGTTTAGTCCACTGAATTACATGACTGTGTGTTTGTGTTAGTGGTAGATTAATTGATTTATTGATCTAATGGATGAATTACAGCCTTAGAGGATTGTGTTGGGTTAGAGGAGAGACTACTGTGTCAACATGGGAAAGTGCCTCAGCTAACATCTGCACTTTAGTGGTTCAGGCAGCTCTGCTGATTTTCATGGAGCCCAGAGACTATCTCTGCATCTTGGGGATTTGTGGAGTCTCCTTTCCGGTTCTATCTTCGTCTTTTTCTTTTTTTTTGTTGACCTGATCTTATTTCTGTTTTAATATCTCCTGTCCGTAATCCTTATCCGTCTTAATGTGCTTCCTGTCGTCTCCTGCAGCTCACAAGGAGACATCTGAGGACTGTCAGAGCTGTCTGGAGTGTTCCCGGGACAACGGCTGTGTACGCTGTCCAGAGCGACTCTTCCTGTTCCTCCAGAGGAAAGGGATGTCTCATCATGGAACTTGTCTCCACTCCTGTCCTGCTGGACACTTTGGACAGAGAGGGAGGGACGTGAACCGCTGCATGAGTATGTATAATTATGTGGTTTATGAAGAACTGCCAAAGAAAAGTTCAGATACATTTATTTAACAAACATTTTTAGATAAGAATTTGAATTTCTCCTCATTTTCTTTGTTGGATTTTAATCAGCCAAACCTTTTTGTTACAGTGTCAAATAGACTTTATCAATAGATTTTCGGGCTTTCTGAAGGTCTTTTAAAGTCTTTCTTTGATGTTTGGCTGCTTTAGTTCCTGTTGATTTTTAAAGCATAACTTTCTCCATGTGCTTAAAAAGGAAAAAAAAAACAATAGGATAGTAGGTGAAGACAGTTGGAGTATCTAACAAAAACCCTACAAACACATCCACTCCTAGTTTTTAGTGTAACTGTGTAACTGTGTAACTGTGCCTTGATCCAAACAGTTAAGATTTATAAGAATTTCGTCCCCCTTTTTCTGGGCCTTCCTTATTTTGTAGTATCTGGGGTCAAGCTGCTGTTGAGACGAGCTGGTGGAGTTAAACCCACCTGTTCAGGCCGTAATCTGATTGCATGTCAATAAGCAGACAAAGATAGATTTCTCATGTTTTATGCTATTCTAAATGTGTTAATTATAAACCTTAACTTAAGTTATTTGACAATACTTTTTTTTTTTACTTTTGTTTGAAGTATTTTGAGATGGACAACAGATTTCAGGTGCATTATATGTTGTTAGTAAATATTGTAGTTTTTTTTTAATGTAATTATCATCATTACCTCCATCATGGCTTAGAACCTCGTCTTTCTCTATGACCGCTCAAACGGCTAGTAGAACCTGCACGCTTCTCACTTGCATAGGCGGAATCAAACTCATTTGCATGTCCTTGTGCAGCAGTCTTTGTAGATTACCAACAACACACCCACTTATGGCAGATAGAAAAAAATACAAACAAAATTGCTCATGAATTTTAGTGCCTATTATTTGGAACCCTTAAAGATCAGGCACTTAATGTTTGTTTAGCTCACTGTAAAGAAGGCTTATTTTGCAAGGAATGCAGCTGTAAAAAAAATGCTTCCACCTGCGGTTCATGTGTGATCCGTAGAGGGTGTTTGTGTAACAACAGTTGTTGGTTTGTCATGTATTCTTTCCAGTGCAAATCGGATTTCAACCAACTTAAACCTGCTGGAATCTCAGATATCACAGAGTGTTACAAGCAAACAGAATCAGAAACTATAGCCCCATTTACACTACCCTTTTGAAACCATTAAACAATTGGTCTGAGCAGGGTAACCGAGAAAACTGTTGAGTGTAATTGGCACGCAGAACTGAACCGGACTGTGCCAGACACAACTGAACCACGCTAACATCAGTAGTAACTAGTTCATCGGTAGGGCTCTGCGCGGTTCAGTTCTGGCTTGGTTCTCAGATAACAAAGAGCGTGTTAGCAGACTGCGTCATCTCCTTACAGTCAGTAATCAGACATTTCAGACATTCGTATAATTACAAGGTTCCCTACTGTGCAACACGATTTGCAGTGATGATTCTGCTTAGCAGTGGATGAACCTCAACATCTGTTGTTGTTTCCTGCATCTGTAATCCCTGAATAGACTATCAGTTTTCGTATCCACTTCCCAAAAGCCGACTCTGCAAGTAAATTCACCAAAGGCAGCCTTTTTTGCCTGACTCTCTAAATATCACAATGATAACAAAAGAAGAATTCCTGAAAGTTAGGGACGCCGCCTTGTTGGTTTGCTGTTTGTTTCTCTCTAGAGAGCAGTAGTACCGTTGATCGCCACTAGGAGGGGAGGAACTGTGCTAGCGTGGTGTGTAAATGATCGTAAGGAACCAAGCTCGGAACTGTTAACTGATCCGACCTCGGTCCAAACTCGGCACGGTTCGGTTTTCAGGAGGTGGAGTAAATGGGGTATATGTCCCATTAGATAAGGATTTCCAAACCTTTCGTGATGTAGGCCATGATTCTTATGTAAAAGGGATGTATTGAGAGCAAAAAGAAAATACACATTTAAAATCTGAAATAACTAAATTTCTTATTATAATTATTATATTATTATAATTCAAATGTCTTTGAATAACAAACTAAGCAGGCAGTATTCTTATTGAACAATTTAACTGTCAGCCATACTGTAGTAAGGGGATCTGAAAAGATTCTAGGCCCAAAACTTTAGAAGGTTTGTGTCTTTTGAAGATTTTTTGGGCTTGAATAGAAAAAAAAACAAAAATTGTCCTGTTTCCAGCAATTAGATAGGGATTTTTGTATTAACTAATTAAAAGCAGATGATGGTACAACAAACTTCTCTTATAAATCAAAACAACTGCCAAGATAAGGTCCTTACTATGAATTTAAAAGTAAAGGGAAATATGGGTTAAGCTTTTATTGCATGTGCATGAATATTTAACTAAATCCAGAATCATTTTCTCTTCTTTAAAAAGAGAAATTCTCCATAAATTAGAGTCCAAATCTTTATCCTTTCGATTTGCAATCAGGGGCAACAAAAAAAAGAAAATCAGTTCCTGTGGTGTTAAGGTGAAATAATAGCATACTCTGTTCCTACATCTCCTCCCCAGGATTCATTTGATTGAGATTGAGAGAAGAAGCCACAAATAAACAGGATTTAGAGATAAAATTCAAATTTATCTCATTTAGGAAATGGATATATCCATGAGACCAAACAAAAACCTACCGCTTTCCCTCAAAATGTTCAGAAGCAGCCTGACGCATTCTAAGTCACCTCATCTTTTTAAAGATGCAGTGTAAACTCCCATGAAGCCAAAAATTAGTCACATAATTGTTTTATAAACAAGCCTTTTCAGGTAATCTTCAACTTTTCAAAGGTTAACTTTTATTTTAGTCTAACAAATATTTGTTTATGCATAAATACTACATCATATAACCTTTTTAAACTGTGTCCACATTGTTTGATGAGCGTCTCTAGTTTAACCAGGCTCCTTTTTGTATCACTTAATATTTTGCCTTTGAGGTTAACATTTTTGCGTATACTGCAACATTTATTCTATTTTTTAAACGTACATAATAAGAACTCATAGTAGAATTGAGAAATAGTCTTTGCAGCTAACGGTTGTGTACAGAAATACCAAAATAAATGTTGTGTCAGAGCCCTTGTGGGCTTTTCTGGTATGAACAAAAAAGACCTCATAAAAAATAAACAGTTTCACACTCAGGATTTTCTGGCAGGTTTTGACATGAAAAGTCAGATCTCAGGGAGATGACTCTTAGAAGAGGAAGCCTCGATGAAAACTCAGAAGTTTACCTTCCTGTTTTTTGATTGCTGATGACTTACTGAGGAAAAACAGTGGATGAACAGCTTAAGAAATAATAAAGTAACTTTATTGACCTCACATTGGAGAAATTTACCTCTGCATTTAACCCATCCCCATGAGGAGCAGTGGGCTGCCATCATGCAGCGCCCAGGGGAATATAATGTGGGGTTAAGGATTCCTAGCTCTATGCCCTGGAACTAGGGCCGCCGCCTGGTACTATAAATATTCAGTAAAATCCTTGAACACAATGAAGTTGATTATAGGAAGTGTTTGAAGCAACAATTCTCTCTTTTTTATTTCAACCTCTGTTTATTCGCCCAGAGATGCTTCTCTTTGCCATCATTTGGTTTATTATTTAGGCTACCAAAACAAGGCATTCAGGATGGAGGAACTAGGATGTAAAAGGATAAAGGTCGAGATAAAAACCGCTTCAGGCTCCTCAGGTGCTGCACAGATCAGCTGTGAGAATCATGGGATACATGCTCAACATGAGCCTGAAGCTGTGGAAGATCTCCTTTGTGCTATCAGAGCCCTACTGTAAAGAACCTGTAGAATTTGGAAGTTGAGGTGGAGGCATTTCCTTGAAGAAATAAGGTTCAAATTTATTTAACGTCCTCAGATGGAGCTCTCTGACTGCGGCAAGCTCAATACAGACATTTATACCCTACAAAATCACACACTAACACTCCCCTCAAGGGAACCAACCCACCCCCTGCATAAAGAACTTTCTCACACTTGAACATGAAACAAAGCAACTTGACTTCATCAAGGCCATACCCTGTTAGGTTAATATATCTTTCACTTGCCAGATGGATCTTCTCTAATCAACAGTCCTCCCCTTCATGCCATGAAGGAAGCTGTGTGACTCATTCTTATCTTTCATGACTTTCGTTTGGAGCCTGTGAGGCTAAGAACAGACATATCTCAACATTTTTTACTCTGCAGACCTCAGCCGCTACAGGTCGCCATCACAGCCCTCACTTCTGGAGTTGGTCCTTGACCAGGAATTTTAGTCTTACATAAAAGGTTAGACTCCTGAATCCGGCTGTAAAAAAATCCAGTTGTCTTTCACCAATTTTGTAATTTGGACTATTAGCAAAGCTATTAATCACCAAACAAATAAATGTGTCTCTATTCATTTGGATGCTACTAAAAGAAGAGTGAATCTAGCCTGAGTGATAAATTGTTCACTGCGTAAAATAAACACAAAAGACCACGGGTGAAAATACAAGGGTACCTTTATTAGCTAATAATCACACAGTATTATATCTAATAACTATGCAGACATTTAACAAGGGGTGTGGGGAAAAAATCGTTTTTGAGCTATCTGATACAATATCGATCTTTCAGTTCCTAGCATCAATTTTTAAAAAACAAAACATTTTTCACCTAAAACTATAAGGGAAAATGGGCTGTGTGGTGTGGAGGATGCAGCACCTCAGACTGGAAGAAGGTGAGAAGAGTAGTAAGAACAGCAGAGATCATCGGGGCTTCTCTTTCCTCAATTAAAGTAATTAAATCCCAGTGCCGCGTGTCCCGAGCCCGTAACATCATAAATGACCCCTCATATCCCCACCATGGACCGTTCTCCCTTCTGCCCTCTGGGAAAAGGCTTTGAAGCATCCGATGCAGGTCCAGCAGATTCCATAACAGTTTCTTCCCCACTGCCATTACACTGCTGAATGTTGTGTAAAATGGCTTATTTTATTTATTTAAAAAAATAAATTTTAGAACTGCAAATATACAGTCATATGTTTATATTACTATTTTTTTTATGTATTTATTACTGTTATCAAGGCTGCAGTTTAAAAAATGAAATTGTCTAGGGCTGTTCTTAACTAAATTTGTTTTTCTTTACACTTGTGTATACAAAATAAATCTGTCTAAGTCTCTGTAGATGACTCAGTTACTCCGGAAGACGGGAACTGACTCAGACCCCAAACAACATGGATTTTATCAAAACATTTCCGTTTGAAATATCGCAATATATTGTGTCATTACAATATTGTGACAATATCGTATCGTGATCTAATTACCGCAATACATATTGTATCGCAACATCCATGCCGATACTCACCCCTACATTTAACACTACTGAAAATAAGCACAAATAAACAAAAAGAGAAGTGTCCTTTAAAACAGCAGCTGATAAAGTGTAAATAAACCCTGATGCAGAGATGTTAAATGTAATCATGACAG